CTCTCTCTCTCTCTCTCTCTCTCTCTCTCTCTCTCTCTCTCTCTCTCTCTCTCACACACACACACACACACACACACACACGCACACGCACATGCATGCAGACACACATGCATATATACAGTGTGAATATATAGATGTCAATAAGTTTGAAGCATCACACTAGCATTACAAAAAGGAATATTGTACCACACACAAACATCTGACCTATGCATCCATTCTCAAGACAGACATTAGAGATGAGCCATACCCTCTGGCAAGAATGGCGATCCTCACAACTAAGGTTTATCCCCACTGGCTTTCTTGAGACAGGACAGTCTATGCCCCAGATGTGTATTTTATACCATAAATTTTGTGGGTATACTTTCCTTTATTCAAGTTAAATATATATGTGGGTGTGTGCATTTTTTATCATCAAAATATGAAGGATATCAGTAATCTTGCATGAAAAACTACGGTATGACCGACAAAGTATCCAGCCATATTTGTGTTGTATCCCATACCCGTATTTGTGTCACATCCTGTCAACATGAATATCATAGTAAGTAAATGGAACAATCCAAAAAGCAGGAGGAATGATTGCGAAATGTGCAATTCCATTAAAAAAGCTCATCAATTGCTTAAAACTACATAACCCTACCTCTTTTGTCCATTGCTCATCTTCATTAGAGTGTGACCATTCAACCCAATGGCTATCCTTCCAAACCAGTGATGGCCTGAGGTTCCAAGTTTTCACAACTGATGAATCTCCTTCAGCTGCAAGTAGAGAAACAATCTCAAATAATCAGCTATTTCCATGCTAAAACTAAAAAGAACTAGAAATAATATCATTTGGTTATAGAAGATTTCCTACAATAAAAACTCATAAGCACCCTCTGTTCGAAGTCCACTGAAAATACCAGTCATAAGAAAACATGAAAAAATATGACAAAATACTGTTAGCAAACCAAAAGACCATGATAATCAGAGCATTTAAAAAGAAAAGAGCATGGAATTGCTCAAATGCAGCAAAATAAGTCAACTGTCCATACCTGGAAAATGAACACTCAATTTGCTTTCATCCTCCTTGAACTTCTCAGTGACAATTCCTTCCCACCATCTGAGAATTTAATAATACCCCATTAAAAAAGCAATATGTTTACAACAACTTTACATTTTTTTTTTGGAGGCAATGCATTAGGGAATGGATGAGAAAAATGGGAAAATATAGCATTCAAAGTCAAAACTAATTCTACATGTAATTCATTATAAGATTTACAGGAAAATTCTTAGTTCTGTCATAACAAAGATTCCCGACTTTGACAAACAAATTTTCCATAAATTTGACACAAAGAAGCTTAAAAAATGCATTAAAAAAAATATAGGTAGCATTCTAACAAAAAGACAAACTGGCACTTTCGAGGTTCATTGAATGCCGGTAAAGTGCTGATGCTAAACGAAAAAACACAACAATGAATGGTGGAGAGATGACTAGTCATTTTACATCCCTGTATTTAATTTCGGATTAGTACATGCATTTCATATTCTAAAATTCATTTTGCAAAATTGGGAAGATATATAGAAAGAAATATCTGAGAATAAAGAAGGAAACTAAACATCTGTGTCATAATTTGATTTGTACATGTAAAAGACTACATATACCACCATTTAAAGAACTGCATATATTTGTAATTCCTCTATATACACATTTTACTAAAACAATCATGCAGATTGTATTTATTTTTAAAAAAAAACAACCATGCAGAATTTAACACAAAACCAGACAACAGACTCTGATTTGCACCACATTAATACACATCCTAGTTCGAATTAGAAATTATCATCTTCAATGCATGGTGTCTGTAAAACCTTATACGACGAACTTTCCATCTACTAATGAGCAAAACATCCATGTCGCAGTGTTGGAGCAAGACTGACTGCAATTGCTCCTTGCAGAGCATACATCTATCAGGAATGGGCAACCCCCTTGATTGTAGGTGGTCTATGGTAAGTAATTTGTTGAGCACAGCCAACCCCAGGAAAGCAGAAAAACTACAAGGGGCTCAATTCTCCCCACACTTTTCTAACTACTGCCTGATTGCTGCAATTGGGTGAGCGCATAGTAAAAAGATAACCAAGAATTCCCCCTAACAAGTGCGGGCCCGAAGGATGTTATACCCCCCACTTCCGTGTAAGTAGACTTGCTGCAAACAACTTGATAACAATGTTAACTCGCTGATCTCAAAGTCTGGTAAGTTCCTTCACGATTCTGGAGCACCAAATCCTCTCACCGCCCAGTTCTTCTGCAGTCTGAGATGGCTGCATTCTGGTCTGTGGCAATCTGTACTAGTTTGTCAAAGCACCTTTATAATGGCTCTCCACACCACCCACCCCCCCCCCCGAAGTGGCACCCCGCCCAGAGGTTGATCGAGAAGTGTATTCTGGTTCCATTACCCATCATGAACCTCTTACTGTTAACTAATGCCCTGCAGATTGTGCACACATCCTTCCAAGCCTGAAACCCTATGTCATGGAGGGTTGGCAAGCCGATTGAAACCACCGAATTTACACTTATCCAAATTACTTGTTTCCAGAGTTGGTTTCAGCCACACCAAACCTAAACAACCATTTGCTTAAGACTGCGAGGTACATCTCCTTCAACAGTCTGATATCCATCCCCCCAACTCTCCCAGGTTTACAAGCACTCTCCAGTTCAGTATTTCGAGACTACTCGGCCTCAGCCTTGGCCTTGTGCCAAGGCAAGTTGTACCACCTCGGTACAACTCATATACAAAATAAAAGAGGCACATCGCCCCCCTTACTCTCTCTCTCTCTCTCAAATGTGGGGCACCACCTTCTCATCACACTCTACTTGGCAGAGCACCCTCTTTCTACTCTAAACAGGTACTCTCTCTCTCTCTCTCTCTCTCTCTCTCTCTCTCTCTC